CCAGAGGGAGAGACTGAAGCCTGAGGGATGCAGGAGCAAAGGGAAGAGAAGGAGGGTGTGGGGGGTGTTGTCAGGGAGAGTCTGGAGGATCTGGTCCAGGTTCACGTGTAGCTGGTTCAGAGAGAGGAGACTGTGTCTATGACCAGGGTTATTGTCAATGTATCAGCTGGGGATACATCAGTCGTGACACAAGGTCACACTTTATGGAATAAGATGATAGAACGGATTATGGAGGAATGTTCGTGGGCAGTATGTTCAGCTGTAGACACAGAATTCATTCCTGTCCATCTTCTCCAGATTGAGTGGGGATGTGCACTTGGGCTGGGATATCTCATGTGTCTGTGTCTTCCTCGGATGTCCCCATTTTATGTCACTTTCCGTGCATTACATGAGTCTTCCTCTTTCCCTGTTGAAGGATAGATCGTCGTGCAGAAGAGACCACCCCACTATGTCTCTCCAGGTAAGTTTCTTACTGAAAAGCGGCTCAGAAACAAGATCCGTGGGTCCAGAGGTTTTAGACCCACTTCCTCGTTGTCTGAGACCCAGTGAGGATCGGTAGCTGCTCCCACTGCCGTGAGCTGTAGCCCAGTGATAGTCAGCCTCGGCCTCACCCTCCCGCCCCGAGATGCACAGAAGCCCTGCATTGGCCGAGGTGTCTTTGGAGCCCGAGAAGCTGCTGGGGACCCCAGAGCCCTGGGGCTTATCAGAGTGAGGAGTAGGAAAGCAGACCCCGGGGAGGGCTCCCTGGCTGCTGCTGGATCCAGTAGATGTTCAAGCTGCCAACATGATGTCCCTGCTCAGGTGCAGGTGAGTCTGGCCATTGTTGCCGGAGATGCAGAGAGGGAGGGTGGCCGGGTCAGCATGGGCTGGGACAGGGAACCTGCCAACACACACACTCATAGGATATTGGATAGGTTCAAAGTAAATTTTCTCTAGACTCGGAAGCAGAGGGTTGATGCTGGCTGTTCCCTGAGGCTTGTCCCTACCTGTGCAGTAAAAGAGCATCCCCAGGAAGACAGGAGTCCAGGCCATGATGACACAGACCCAGGTTCCCCAGTGGGCTGGGCTGCCCTAGGCCTCCTTTTCTCCTCCAGCCTCTGCCACATGAGGGGCTCTATATGCAAATATAGTCCATCCATTTAGTCGGTGCCCCTCACTTTCCCTGATCCCTGGTGCTGGAACTCAGTTCACATCACACACTGAGGAGGATGGACGTTGGCTTCAGCCCTGGGGCCAACCCTGGGAGGAAGCACCTGCTGAGACCACATACAGGTCCCCTCGGGACACTCTGCCAGACCCAAGGGGACACAGCTGCTGAGTCCCATCAGTGAGCACAAGACGCAGCCCTCAGGACCAGACATCTTTGTTTTTTGTTTTTGGGGCTTTTTTATTATGTTATGTTAGTCACCATACACTTCTTAGAATGGTTCTTACTAATGAGCTGCTTTTTTAGCGGAAGGTAGTTCCACAGGCCACCTTTTGGTCCTGGGCACACATGTCACCCCGGTCCAAAGCCCTGAGAGTCCAGCTGGGGTCTGCATCTCACTGGGTCTGATTTCTAGATACGATGGTCCTTCAGGCCTGCTGATGATATTGTTGAGTCTCACTCTCAGAAAGAGTCCTGGTCTATGGGAATGTAAACACATGCATATATTATGTGAAATTTATAAAGGAACATCTCTTTTGCATGGAGATCAGAGACCACTAGGGGGAGCTCTCGTGCCCACCACTCCTCAATTGCAGACCAGGCAGGAGGACAGACTTTGCAAGTCTGCAAGCCTGAAGCTAGTTCCTTACTACCTCAGGAAGAGGAAGACTTCTTCCTGCCCTGGCAACAGCCCAGCCAATGAGAAATTGTCACAACGTAACCAATGACAAGCCCTGTAATTAGAATTCCCTTTTACTCCCATGGACTTTTTGTCTCTCCCACACTTACCCTTTGCTCCATAAAAGAGCTTCCTTATCCTTTGTTCCCTGCACTTGCCTGTGGTTTTGCCATACCTTACCTGTCCTGGCTTTCAAGTTTTTGCTTTTCTTCTATAAACCCATTATCACTGGGGAAAATGAATGGCACATTTGTATTAAGTGTTCAGAAAAATAACTGAAGTGCTCAGTGATCCCCACAGGAGATTCTAGAAAAAACTGAAGGACCCCTATGTGCAACACCTGATGTCACACACCAGGGGACAGTGGATTTGGTTTTGTTTGTTTCCTCGTTTGAATGTCCTGCAAGGGTTCCTCACTTACTTACAATCACGGATCATCATTATCATCATCATCATCCATTCTTTATAACTGC